AAGAAGCTGTCGAAGCAACACCCATAGCCAAAAATCAACAAAACTCTATACAACAGGTAGACTTCCTCGATTTGCTCCCGAACATGCCTGAGTCACGCCTGTTGTCTTTGTGCCACCATCTCCAACCTGCTGCGAAGGGCACGTGCGCAACTGCAAATCATCAGAGGCAGAGGCAAAGTTTCTCATGAGCACCTGGCCTTCATCCCCTTCACCATGGAGCTGCCAGGTGGTACCGTTATCTGATGTCACAGGGCTCACTTAAACTCGGCGACTCGTTTTGGCAGGACATGCCGGGCCTGTGCGGGACCAGCTTCGCCAAGAATGATTCCAGCCTGCGCAGAAGAAATTCAGGGGCATGCGCTCTGAAGCCTTTCAGCAACGGCCTTCGTCTTGAAGGCTGCCTGTCGTCAGGGATCGCGCGATAGTGCTCTCTGAAGTGCTTCGCTTCGTTTCTCGCATCATTCAACCTGCTCTCAATCGAGCCAGCCTGAATCACGTCTCGTGCGATAATTCCAGCGGCCTCTGCACCAACTACTTGCCGTGAAGTTTGCAGTAGCTCTGATGCGGACCGGCCTTCCTCGTCTTCGGGCTTCACCTCGTGCTCGGTGCCTCGCGCAGCACATCTCACGTCGACGGGCGACTTTTTGCACAGGACACCCGGCCTTCAGCATCACGAGACCAACGACCATGAGCTTGATGCTTCCAGCCGTCATTCCAGCCTGCTGCACAGGCTGCTGTGCGGGGGCACGGCACATCGAATCACCATCAGGCGGCACGGCCTCCGCGCCAACCCTGCCGATGGTATGGCATTGCTAGACTATAGAACTGGAATTTCCGGCTGCAGATTATTTGAGCCTGGCGGCATTCCGGCAACGCAAAGATCGAACATCTGCAGAGACCAACAATATTATCATGATTCTGCACAGTGTCACTCAACATCGCATGTAGGATCCCAGCTCCGCTCAAACGCTTTCAGCAGCTTGTTTCAGACATCTAAGTACTTGAAACTTGAAACCCAATCCTACTCTCCTTGCAAAGTCAGTGCGGGTGGGTGGACGTTTCGGGGAAAAGCCCCGAACTCAGCACATGTAAACACTACCTGAACTGGCGTGTGAATGGGACTGCTG